CTGAGTAAGTTATAATAAATTTGAATTATAATCTACAGTTTTATACCAAACTTATTGACATAAATTCATGAAATAGTAGTTCAATAAAATTTTGAATGCGAGTCAACAAATGCAGTGACATGGCCTGTCACCCGTGACACTTTTGGAAAGGGTTAAAAGGTTTATGCATGTATGTAAATGTTAAAAAAAGTAAACTGTTTATTTTGGAATTTGTCGTTTTATACCGTTCTTAAAATGTAGGACTTATTATTTTGTTTCACTGTTTTACCTATTTGTGCGGTTTTATTTGTCTCTTTTTTTATGTTGTCTTTATTACCACCAGTGGGGATCATTAGCTGATTAAATTTAATTAACTGATTATTCTCACATGAGACTTGGATAGTTGGAGTAAACAAAAATAGTAATAACTGGAAACGGTAACTTAAGTGAGCTGGTTGTTAAATTTTAGATTTAGGCTGCTTGAACATCCAGAATAAGAGGATTTTAATTTGGCTAAGTATTCATTGGTCTAATGGATAAAATAAGATGTTTTTTGTTTCTCTTGGTTACAAAGAAGTTGAGAAACTGCAGGTAGCTAGATGTGGCTTTGCTATAGAATAACACACATACTTTCATGAAAACAAATCTTCAGTAACATATTCATGTTTTCCTTGTGTTTAATATATCGAAGGTGTTTTAATCTTGGCTCCATTAGTGTTGAAAACACCCCTATGAACATATAAAACAATACTGAACTGCCTGTAATAGCAAATCTAGAAAAATATATACAGTATTGTTGCAACAGGTGACTGATAAGTGAATAACTTTCACTGTTTCTACACATTCAACAATGCATGATCTTAACAAAGGAATAGCTTAAGAGATATCCAGTATCTCATACACCACTTGTTGTTAATGTGTTAGGCAGTTAGCACTGTAGTTGACACATTACTGTTTGCACATAATTTGAATGTTAATTTAGCTAATCTGAAATAATGTTACACCAGGATATAACTATTTTGATATAATATGTAATGAAAGTGGAGTTATTATTGAAAACATAAATTCTTAGAAAGCATGCATTTAAAAAATTTTTTTTAAACTTTATCAGATTGGTAAATTTTCTTTAAACACAAACAGCTGTTATAAAAATGTTTTTTGTTCACAGGTTTGCACTCTTACATGAAGAGCTGTAATAGAAGATTGGAAGCTCCATTTTGAAATATTTCCATGTGTGATCAGTGAAACTGAAGAGAAGATTTTGACTTTTCTCTTAAGTAATAATGTCAATTCATTACAAGTTCAAGAGCAGTTTGGATTATGACACCGTTACTTTTGATGGGCTTCATCTCTCCATTGCGGACTTGAAAAAGGCAATCATGCATCAGAAAAAAATAGGGAAGAATGCAGATTTTGATTTACAGATTACAAATGCACAGACAAAAGAAGGTAAAGTTTAGTAATAGTAAAATTCCTTATTGTAATGATATGAACTGAAAGGCTAGAAATCTAATTTTTATGAAAACCTTGTGATGTGCCAGTTTTTCATATATTGTGAAGGTGGACATTGTTTTTCATAATATATACAGTGAAAATTATTGCCAAAGCTGATGGAGCCGTAGCTCTGAAGGCTATTGGGGCCCCAGTGACTTTGAAAAATATAGTTCCATCTGTGGGTCCTTAAAAATACATTGTCTCATGGACTCCCAATAGATTTAATCCAGCCCCAAATATATAATAATGTTAGATAAGGTAGGATAATGAAAAAGATATCTCCACAAGGTATGCTTGTTCGCGTTATATCATTCAATACAGTAACCTGAGCTACGTGTTTGCAGGGTGATTTACGTGTGTGGCAGGATAATTAGTTAGACACGGTTCAAAGTGCGATAAACCAAAGTATAAAAAGATGTAAACTGTTACGAACCTTGAACTATTTAAGATAAACAAATGTAGTTTTCTGTTACAATCTGCAGTCATTCTAATAAAGAAAAATATGGCAATTCACATTTAGTTTATATTTTTTTTTATTGCAGTTACAAAGTCAGTCAAATAAAGAAAATAACAGATAAAATATAATGAAAAAATGTTTGACATTTATTTAGGAGGTTTTAGAAGCTCAGCAAATGAAATCTGAAAATTTTCAAACGAAGAAAAGGAATTTTAGTATTAACATGAAATCGCATTCTGACTCCATATATTCACAGACAGATCTTTAATAAAAATACTTAATTAAAATATCTGAATTTTTGTGTACAGAAGACTTGTAATGTTTACTGAAAGCTTGCTCAATTCCATTAATATACAAAAATGTATTAAAGTTATGGTATGGAATCTGATGGTAAATTTGAGGTTCTAACTGACCCAGTATGGAAAATTAAAAATCTAGAAACCACTTGCTTTTTGACAGCTAGTCATTGCTAATTTTGAGCCACATTACTCATCTATAATTAACAAAAATAATTAAACATTTTTTTCTAAATTTAGTGGATGAACAAAATATTTCAAGCTTGATATATTGACAAAGAAAATGCAGAAGATAAAACAAAATGGTCATTTAATGAACAGGGTTTTTTGGGCAATTTAATTATTTCATAAATATTTTTGAAGTATTTTTTCATTGTTTATTGTATTACTTAAGTGTCGTGTTTTATAAATTTTAATTTTTTTGTGCTAGCTACCAAAAAGCAACTTGCCTTCAGAAAGGTTGAATTTGTGAGTTAGATTTCTGTTTAAATTCTATATCAATAACAAGACTACATATGTATCACACCTCAATAAATGGTGCATTAGGGCAGATCTCAGCTCTGCTACTACTAACATATGATGGGTTTTACTGTGAAATGCCTCTTTAATAAAGTAGATTTGATTTTTTAGAAAGACTTTATATTACCTGTTATTTTTGCTTATGTATCTCTGTATGGGTTTGATCGATTTGACCAACCTCGTAACCACCATATAAAATTAGGAAATAGATATAAGTTATGTTTCTTTTATTCTAGAATAACTACAAATTATAACATGAAACCACAAATGTCTAGTCTAAATTGCTTAAAACTCATAACGTTGTACATATCTCTCTCTCTCTATCTTATTGAGTCTTTAAGCTGTGTCAGACTAACAGTACAGAAGTTGCAATAATGTGGCACACTTGCACTCATGTTGATGTATCTAACAGTATATAACTGGCCCTTACAAAGTGACCTATCTTGGATTTGTTATAGTGGACCCGTATTTTATAAAATAGTCACATTTGAGTTATGATACATTACATATGTATATATATATATATATATAC